AGGGGGACAGTCAGAGCTTTTACAAAAAGTCTGTGTTGCAGCTTCAGAGAGCACCTGTGACTGCGAAGTACAGTGAGGGTGTGCAGCTCAGTCCCACCCACACCTGAGCTCTGGGAAGCTATGTTTAGCTCCTGAAGTCACACAAAGAAAGGAGGCCAGGAGGAGGAGGCAGCAAGCCGCCTTGGGCTTCCAGAACCACTGGAGAGTGCTCTGACTCTGGGTCTACCCTTGACGTTAAAGACAAGATTTGCATCTGAATGGGAGGAGGCTGTTTAGATCCACACCTAGAGTCGGGGAGATCCCCGCTGTGTACTAAAGAAGTCTCCCAAAGTCTTCAACTGTGCTCCGAGAATTACTACTTCATTTACACCCATCCCAGTGAATCGCAGTTGTAGACTCAGTCACTCCTAGGATTTTGGAAAAGCACCTTGACCTCTGTCCTTTCTCTTGAATGCCCTTCTTACCCAATGGGCTAAGCCTTCGCTAATCTCATCTCTCCTTTGCTGAATGACTACGGTCAAACTCTAGTATGTGGACTTTTCCTCCACTAGTAGAGGAAATAGAGGTGTCCTCGATGTCAGAGAGACTGTCAGAGATGTCAGAGAGATTTCAGAGACTACTGTCAGAGAGACTTTGAGGGCTCCAAGGAAGGAGAGTGACTTTTCCTGGGCTCTCCAAAGGTTTCACGGAAGAAGCAGAAGAAGCAGCATTTGAGATGAGACTTACACGACAGGCACTTTGGATGAAGACTTCCTGGGGAAGGGCACGGAAGATGGAGAGACCAAAGCACTGGGAATGGGAACAGGGAAATGTGTTCAGAGAACAGTGGCAGTTTGGCTGGACTCAGTGATATTTCCAAATCTTGACTGTGCCTTAGAATTATTGGGGGAATTTCCCTTCAAATACAGATATGCAAGGCTCCACCCCAATTGGAATGTTCTGTAGAGGGGCTCAAACCTCTCTGTGTTTTTGTAAAGCTCCCAAGATTATCCTGAGGTGCACACAGAGTTGAGAAACTCGGAGCTATGCATAGAATGCAAGTAGAGTTCCTGGGGATATGCCCAGAGAGTGGGTGGGTTAGGAACAATTTCTTTTTTTATGTTTCTAAAGCCATATGGCTTATTACTTTTCTCACCACAGAAAGTGCTCTGTGACATATTTTATATGTAAAAGGTATAAAATTTTGTGTGGAAGGAAGAAAAGTATGTTATTAAAGATGTACCATGTTCCAGGCACCGTGACAGTAGGTGGTTTGTTTTGCAAGAATATTGCAAAACCATGGAAATCATGAGACATGCTCTGGGATGTCAGAAATCTGTAGTTTTAAGAGTTTCTTGGTTTGGTGAGGTAATGAGAAAGCACACGTACCCATGCACATTGACAAGGCTGTGAGTTTTGAAGAAGGAGAATATTTTCCAAGGCAGGGGTCACACGTGGGTTTGGAAGTCAGTGGTCAATTCACTGCACAGCTTTGCCATGTACCAGCTGTCATAGACAAGTCACGCATCCTCTTTGAGCCTCACGTTCTCATTCTTTTTTTTTTTTTTAAGATTTTATTTAGTTATTACACACAGAGAGACAGTGAGAGAGAGGGGACACAAGCACAAGGGAGCTGGAGAGGGAGAAGACTCCCCGCTGAGTGGAGTGCTCCATATGGGGCTCCATCCCAGGATGCTGGGATCAAGACAGGAGGGGAAGGCAGAGGCTTAACAACTGAGCCATCCAGGCACCCCTCACATTCTCATTCTTAAACCCAGAGGTTTGCCCTGCGATTTGAGCGAAACATACCTGCAGAGTACTTGGCCGGGTGCCTCACCTAGCAGGAGTTAGATAATTTTTATAGAGAGTATGCGTTTATTAAATTGATTAAGCTTCATTCCCGAGTTCACAACCAAATTTTGCTAGAAGGAGGTGTGGTCCATAACAGATAGGCAGAAGCCCACTCTGCAGAGTCATCTGTCCCCGCAGTGAGTTGGGCAAATTAAGACCATATTTGCCACAAATTCATCAGGTGCTTTAACTCAAGATCTATCATTTTAAAATTTTAAAAAGTCAGAATCCTCTTTTCATACTTTGCAGGAATGTATCTTTAAACAAAAGGATCAGGTAAATAGATATATACTTGCTTTCTTTGGCTCTGGCACTCATTAGTTTTCTCCTGACTCCAAGTTTTCTGTGTCTACAAAAATATTAGAGCACTCTTGCTCTACTTCTCAGGTCCATTTCAAGTTACTTCAAAGGCTTATCTTACACTAGGTGACCTCCGAAGTATATAGTTTCACTCTATTTTCCAATCTATGAAAATTGTGTCCCTTATTGAATAAAACTAGAGAAAGTTTCCAGCTCAAATAAAGATAGGAGGGACTAGAAGACAAAGGTTTAAGAGTACCAGGAAGACTCAGATTATGACCTGTTTGTCTTTCATTTACTTTGTTATCTGAGCCAATTATTAATAGGCTGGTAAGATTGAGGCAATAGCAAGATTGAGGCAATAGCCAAGGTTTTTTTTAAGAGTACAGATTTCCCTTGATTCAAAGTCACTAAGACCTTTTGGGTAAAAACACCTGAAGGTTCAATTCGTATGTGTGTACTGGTAGAATATGTTCTGACATCCTGGCTACCTGGAAAACAGTTTATCGTGATATATGGAATCTTGCTGAGACAGAATAGCCTTTATTGTCACAACTTGAGTCATGAAGTGCATTTGTTTTTATTTCATTGAAAGAATTAAGAATCCAGCTTGGGGGCGCCTGGGTGACTTAGCCGGTTAAACGTCTGCCTCCAGCCCAAGTCATCATCCCTGGGTTCTGGGTCAGGCTACCTGTAGAGGGCGTCCCTGAAGGGAGCCTACTTCTCTTTCCTCTCCGACCGCCTGCTTTTTCACTTTCTCTCTCACTATCTCTGTCGCTATCTCTCAAATAAATAGATAAAATCTTAAAAAAAAAAAAATTCAGCTTGGTAAAACTGAAGTTCAAAAATTGAGATCTTGTGCTAGAATTGGGGGTAAATGGAATCATGTGAGATGGCGCCATCTAGTGGACAAAATGTTGTACTCCTACTCCTTTCATTAACCAATAGTAGTAGTACATACAGCAGCTGCCCTAGGACACAACGGAATTCAAAGGGAGAAAAACCATTTAGGATGATTAATTGATCCACAGATGGAAAAATAAAAAAGTCAGAAAAATCATTTTGTCGTTATAAGGCAACCACTAAGGGAATTTTTTTTTATCGTATTTAGAATTTTCAAAATGCTGTCATTCTTGAGTAACCAGATCAATGTTCACTAGTTCTTGTAGTATTTCACAAATATTTGTCCACTTGATTGTATCTGTACTGAATGTCAAAATATTTAATTAAATAGCTGGATTCTAGATGGGGGAAAATTAGTTTCTGAGAATAAGTATGTTAGTTATAAAATGGTAATTACAAGACCTGAGTTCTTAATATCGTTAATTAAGTAATTGGTTTCTATCCCACCTTGTTTTTATCTGTGTTTGACTTATTTTACAAATAATGTAACTTGCAGGTGCCTCAGTTTCTTTTGTCTGCAAAAGGAAGGTACATGAGTATTGAAAAAGGTTTTACTGGATGGATGGTTATGTGCCTGGCACATTGATGGATACTAGGAACACAGTGATGAATAAAACAAAGAACACATTGTTTAGAGGAAGTCCATAAAGAAATCATTTTATGATGAGGCAGAAAGAACAGTAATATATCCCAGCACATAGAAGTATCAAGGAGTGGTACCCACCTCAGCCCCAGAAGCGAGTAGAGTTTTAGTCCAGAAACTCTACCTGGAGGAGTCCAAACCCTTGGGTAAGGCTTAAAGGATGAGTGAGAATTAATAAGGAAAGAAGGAGATTGAGAGGATCCTCCAGGTCGAGGTTATCAGCAAATACGGATTTGTAAGATGATATTATGGGTAGGGCATTTGACGAAACTGGGTTCTTTGGAACTGTTAAGAGCATAGGAATCCTACAAAGTATACAGAGTAGGATCCCAAAGGGACTCTGATATTACAAAGTGGAGTGATAGGAGAAGCCTCAGAAGTGTCCCAGAGGGCTTGTCTTCTGTCTTGCAGACCTGGCTTCCTCTTTGCTGGTTGGCAACTAGCTTTTCAGTTCCGGCCTCCTAGGGAGTGAATTCATTGCCTGGGTTTAATGTACTCTTCACTGGAGTACAGTTTTACTATATTTCTCAAGTCAATCATAAAGGATACCACATGGAGGCATTAAACATGAGGTTAATGAAATGGTTAATGTTGCCAGGTTACCTTCTAACTCACTGGTGTTGTAAATTGGAACACTGACTTCCAGAAATAAAATTTCAGAATCGATTGTGGTTCTACCCATATCTTAATAACACCCACCTTCAACTTTGAAGTTTTGTTTTTCCATTGGTGGTGACCTAGGTGTTTGTTTTGTTTGGAGGCTGATAATAAAAATATAAATAAAAAGGAGAGGGAGAGGACTACTGCTAATACAAAATCATTACATTCTTAAACTAGGTATTTGATTTGCAAGAAAATAAATGGTTCAGCATGCCTGGGGGCTCAGTCGGTTAAGAATCTGTCTTCAGCTCGGGTCATGATCCCAGAGTCTTGGGATCGAGTCCCACATTGAGTTCCTTGCTCAGCGGCAAGACTGCTTCTCCCTCCGCCTCTGTCCCCCCACCCCTACTTGTGCGTGCTCTCTCTCTCTCTCTCTCTCTGACAAAAAATAAATAAAATCTTAAAAAAAGAAAAGAAAGTGAATGGTTTATTTTTATATTTATTTATTTTTTTAAAGTAAGCTTTGTGCCCAATGTGGGACTCAAACTCCTGAGATCAAGAATCACATGCTCTACTGACTGAGCCAGCCAGGTGCCCCTTTAGATGTATTTTAATGCCCCACTTGTTTATTTCTGTGTCCAAAGGACCAGTTTCCCCTTAAACTTCAAATGGCCTAGAAAGACTTGGTAAAGTCCTTAAATGAATACAACTTTTGTCTCCACAGATACAGACTAGTTCCAAAGGTTTATTTTCCTGCACAAATTCATGATGTTGTGCATGCCACGAAGTATTTCCTGCAGCCAGAAGTCTTACACAAGTATTCGGTTGACCCAGACAGAATTGGTATCTCTGGTGACAGTGCTGGTGGGAATTTGGCCGCTGCTGTGGGCCAACAGGTAACAGCCCTGTGGTGCTGGTGGTTGGGAGGGCACTGGCTCACCTGCAGATGGACAGATTCTCCACCATGTATGGCCAAGGTGGAGCAGGTGGGCTGGTCAGTAGTGGGCCACGTTATTCAGATGACTGCACCTGGAGAACACACAGATCTTTCTGAAGTAGAAAGAGAGGTCAGTGACAAAAGTGTCATCTCTCAGTCCTCAGAAAGGCCCCGAATACGATCATTATGAAAGAAGGGCTGATGTTTTGTAGGGCTCTCTTGCCGCTCAGGGCTATGCATGGAAATCAAGTATCCCCAGCAACTTGTCCATGTCAGACTTGCAAAATGGGGGTCTGTGTGCTTAAATTCCAATTGCTGAGATGGCTTCCTTAGAACTTGGAGTCAAATTGAAAAGTTAAAAAGCGTTTCCCAAAGTTTGTTGGTTTTTTGGGTTTTTTTAAATATAAAAGAAAAAAATGAAAATGGGTCAGCCACTTCAAATGTTATCTTACAAGATCATTGAGCTTACTTGGTTAAATTCTTTGAAAACTACCTAGCTCTAAGAGCACCCAGAATTTGGGGCAGCTGTGTAAGTTCAAAGATAAGTACATTTTCTTCCTCTGATGGATTAAATAAGTTTAGAACAGCAGCTGTCTTCTCTCCTCCAAATTTCTTTTGGTATCCCAGATAGCATCTGCCTTTTTATCTGTGGCGTACCTCGGTTTCTTCTCCTTTGCTGCATGTGAAGAAATTTGTTCTCTGGCATTGGCACGTTTGCTATACCTGTGTCAAGTGTGGTAAGAAGAAAGTGCTAGTCCATGAGGAGAGCCTCATGGGCTTTACAATGAGACAGAACTGGGATGGAATCCAGTCCCCTTGCTTTGAGAGCTACAGGGCTTTGGGCAAGCACCTTAACATCTCTAAGCCTCAGGAAAATGAGGATAATGCCATGTGATTGCAGGGCTGTTGCCAGAATTTAGTGAAATGATGTATATACATTCCTGGCACATATTAATTGTACTATCAACCAATCATTTCCTTTTGCTTTGACAGAACAGTTTCATCTTCCCTGGGGATGGGGTTCTAAACTCCTACGTAAAACAAAGTTGTATGGCTAAAGTGACCTTGAAGATTGTTTAGTTGCAATAAAACACAGTGTCCTAGTTAGCTGCCTTTCAGAGAGAAAAAAAAAGAAAAGAAAAAGAAAGAAAGAAAGAAAGATAGAAACCAGAAAAAAAAAAGTCTTTAAAAAATATATGAATAAGGACTGAGAGGGGAGGATAATGTGTGGAAACAGTTCAAGATACTTGTTGAATAAATAAATCAAATAATAATAATTTATAAATAATAAATAAAAATAAATAAATAAAATTTTTGACAGACTCAAAAAAAGAAAAAATGAAAATATATATCATTTTAGATACTAAAACTCTGTCTAAAATGAAGCAGTATGTTTGCATTTTGTGGGGGCATGGGGGAATTGAGATCTGCTGAGGTAGGGGATGCATTCACATTCCCATTTCAACCTCAACTCTGGGGTGCACGCTCATTAAGGAGACTGGAGGGCACGTTGCCAGCACCATTTAAATTCTCTCACCCAGCATGAACACTAACTGCTCATTGGAGGAGATATCCTAAGGTCCTACTCCAACACTTTGGAGTCCCATCATCCGTTCCTTTGGCTTTTCCTCCCTTCTCCTCTGGAAGGGTTAGCTAGTTTGTTTCTCTACAGGAAGCCACTGCCTTTTTTGGGCCTTGCAGAGCATAGTGAACTAAATAAGGTTCATAGGTTATCCATCCGTCATATCCAGCAGAGTGTGCTACTGCCAAAGAATGGAGACAAGTGAAGTGTGCGTGGGGGTTTAAAGACCTAAGAGATGGTGTACATTTGAAGGGTTCATTCAAACATCATACCTTTCTCAGTAAATATCCAGCAGCTTGATTGGGGCAGTGGTGGTGGTGGGGGGGTTATTTTTTAAACTACATTACTTAATCCCATGGCTGGTGGAAATTTCATATTTTTATCCTCTGCTTGGCTTAAAGTAAGGCATCAAGCTACTATATAAGGTGTGGTTTCTATAAAAGGAGCCATGCCAAAAGAAACAATGTGTTTGCTTCCTCCTCCCCAGTTTTCTCAAGATGCCAACCTCAAAGACAAGCTCAAGGTACAAGCTTTAGTTTACCCAGTCTTACAAGCTTTAGATTTCAACACACCATCTTACCAGCAAAATGTGAACATGCCGATCCTGCCCCGTTATGTCATGGTGAAGTACTGGGTAGACTACTTCCAAGGCAACCATGACTTTGTCCAGGCAATGATAGTCAACAACCACACTTCCCTTGACGTGGAAGAGGCTGTTGCCCTCAGGGCCCGTCTAAACTGGACATCCCTCTTGCCGGCCTCCATCACAAAGGACTATAGGCCCGTCATACAGACCACTGGCAACGCTAGGATTGTGCGGGAGATTCCTCAGCTGCTGGATGCCCGGGCAGCCCCTCTCATCGCCGAGCAGGAAGTCCTGCGGCACCTCCCAAAGACCTATATTCTGACATGTGAGTACGACGTCCTAAGAGACGATGGGATCATGTACGCCAAGCGTCTGGAGAGCGCAGGTGTGGAGGTGACCCTTGATCACTATGAGGATGGTTTCCACGGCTGCATGATTTTCACCAGCTGGCCCACCAACTTCTCAGTGGGAATCCGGACTAGGAATAGTTACATCAAGTGGCTGGATCAAAACCTGTGAACAAGTCACATTTTTAGAGTGCGTGAGCCCCTCTTGACCTCCTGCACCTGCTTCGGAAATTGATGCACTTTTTAGTTGACTGATTTCTCCCGGTGACTTGTGAGTGATGTAATCTCTATTCCTTGCATACCCTGTGTGAATTTAATTTCTGGAAATGTGCTTAACTAATGTACATACAAAATGTCTGAGGCTGGTTCTCAAAGCAGGCCAGTCTCTCTGTTCTTGTTGTTTTAGCCAAACTACTACCAATACTCACGGCTGCAGAGAACAGGACAAGGAGCTGAAATAGCTTTGGGTTCTGTCTTCCTCAAGAAAAATCTTTCTAGAAGAAATTCTTCCAGCTGTGGATGACATAGTGACCTTTAATGACTAAAGAAAATGTGGGCTCTTCTTCAACTTGCTAGGGTCTACTTTAAGTTCAGAGCAGTGTTACCTGTGTGCACGTAAAGGTCAGTGCTGGGTACCAAGTGCCCTCTGTTCTTTACAGATAGATGGTTTTGTTTCCTATGGGAATTTCGGCAAAGGTGTTCTAGCAAGGACAAGTTTCTCAAATGCCTTTCTTCCTTTAGAGCATTGATGTTATGGGATAGCTATCTCTAAGTCCAGTTGGATTAGAACAATACTTGAAAGTTACTTTCTACCACTATTATTAGAAAATATAGTCGCATGGACTGGAAATCTTGTACATTGCTACATTTTTTGGGTATGCTCTCTCCATTGGGGAGATCTTCTGGGAGCAAATTCATTTAGATTTAGGATAAATCTTCCAGTACAGAACAAGTAAAAACAGACAAACGAACCAACCTATTTATTTTCATAAGTAATACTTCTGACATAAATTACCAAAAGCAGTGTGTAATATATTTGGCATAGTCAGGAAAGAAGATACATTTAATATTGAAATTATGAAAAATATCTTCAGAGGGTCTAGTTTATTCTTGAAAACTCAATTTTTTCCACTTACATGGCTTTAAAATGGGGCTATTTTGGTATATATGATGTATTGTTTATTTTTTTAAGTTATTTAATGTTAATATATATAGCTAGACTTAAGATTTTTCAAAATAATGTCTATAATGAATATTAAAAATAATGATATTTTTAAAAAAAGAAACTACCTTAGAATTATATCCACATGTAATTTTATGGAAAGAGGTAAAGTAGCTATTAATACTACTACACATTAGGCTTAAATATTTTGATGCTTATATGCAATCACAAATTAGAATAATTAGAAACTATGACTACACCTGGTAAAGTCGTCTAAGTTTCTAGCTCAGTAACTTCAGTAAGACACACACTGCTCATTTCTGCCCTCCTCTGTGGTCAGAGGAACACTAGATCATATTCTGCGGGGTGACGCGTACATCAGCACCTGGTGCCTTTACCTCTTCTTATCTCCTTCCAGCCTGGTCTCGAAGTTACGATACCCCAAGCTCCACTTCGTGTAAAGCCTTCACTGCCAGTGGGAACATCTTTGGCATAGGAAGGGACTCCAATTCTGGGTTGAGTACTTCTGCCCTCCTTCCTGCCCCTCTGACCACTGCCCCACCACACACACATCCGTGCCCCCCCACACCTCCCCCATTCTTTGCAGGGGCTGCAGAGAGCAATGGGACAGCCTGGTTATGATATGGCCTGTCCATCAGTGGAGAGGATGGAGAGGAAGTGAAAGCTTCTCGCTCATTTGAAAGGGAGGCACTAACAACTTCTGCATTGAAATCAGTGAAAATGTGCGCCCTTATTTTTCATTTATTGTATAAGCCAGTAGCATTTTATGTACAAAATGTGTGTGTGTGTGTGTGTGTGTGTGTGTGTGTGTGTTTGCCTGTGTGTATATAAAAAATAATCATGCAGATTAACATGCTAGTGGACAGAGATAAGTCATTTACCATCTCTGGGCCTTTTTCCCTTCCCTCTAAAATCAGCACTTTGAATTACTTTGAGTTAATCTACGAGGTCTCTTCCAACTGTAAATTCCAAGCATTTTGTCAGTCTGACAAATCATATTGACTTCTCTAGTGTTTTGGTTTTTTGTTTTGTTTTCTGGGGGTTTTTTTGTAGGTTATTTTTTCGTATACATAGACACAAGTATCATCGAAGATTTTGTTTTTCTAAAAAAAACAAGATTTTGTTTCTTACTCTTTGACAGCTACTCTCCTCATTTAATACTATTGGGGTTTTTAAATACCATTTGAAGGGACCAATGTCTGGGCCTTACTTTGAGGTTATCAACCTCCAGACATCAAGGAAAATATACATGCAAAGAGTTTCTTAAAATGGCATGTTTTCCCCCAGAATTAGGAGCTAAATGCTATGGTAATTACAGACACCAAATGATTCTAGATCTTTAAAGGGTTTTCTTAGATGAACACAGAGTGAAAGAAAAAGGGCCAACCACTGTTTCAAATGAAACACTTGAGTTTCATTAAAGCTTTAATGTGTGTGAATAATTTGTCTAATGACTTGTTACTGGACCCTATCTCAGACCTTGCTTGAAGTTCTTTTTTGAAATTCTCCCTGGAATAATAACAGTTGGGAGTCAGGATACACAAAAACCAGTAGGTACAAGAGAGGTTAAACCAACCAGAAATCTGAGTGCTAAGAACTCCTTGGGGAAGCCTATAGAGTTTATGGTGAAAATATTTTAGTGTGAGGGTGAATTCTCTCTCTTTTTTTAAGTTTTTGTTCTTGTATTAAGAAGTTATGCTCTGCAGATTGATTTTATAGTATGATGGCTTTATTTTGTTTTCCTATTTTATGAAAAAAAAGTTGATAGTCTTTTTTAATATTGTTGTTTGTGAAATATGAACGTAAATATATGAAGAAAAAACCTTGAAGTGCTGTGAATATCGTGGAGTGTAAATTAGTCTTAACGTTTTATCGTTGATTTGTGAAGAATTTGAGACTATTGTATAATTATCTTGGTGGCTGTGATATTTTATGCATGACCTTTTAACCTTTGACTTTTTGCTCATTTCCCACTGCCAAGAGGAAGGCAGATTTTATGAAGGATTTTAGTAGCAAATCTATTTTATAAGATGAAAATCCACGGTGGAGGTAGGAAAGCCTGTATCTGTTTTAACTCAAGTTTAGAAATAAAATGGCTCCATCTGGGAATGTGCCTCTTTTACTTCTTCTCGTCTCTTTTTCTGGTTTCCATCTCTCCCTCTGTATCTCAGGTCCTTAGCCACAGCTCTGACCAAATCTTCTGCCCACCGGAGTCCCGGAGCTGCCTTTCAGTCACGGAGGGGTTGGTCAGCGGCTTCCTTGATGACATTCATTTCATGTCTGGATGCAGTATGTGCTGCTCACGTTGGGGAAACCTGCCTCGGACTGGCTACAATCTTTGCAAAAGTGAGGCAGGCCCTGAGACCATTTGGGGACTTTCAATCCACGGATTGGAAAGGGATGATCCTGCTGCAAATGAATTTGGATTTAAAGCAGTTCAGCCACGGAAGTATCAATAGCGCTAGAGGCAAATTTTCAAATTGACCCTGACATTACAAGCAAATCTATTAATTCCACACTTGAGTTTATTATGCCGAGTTTATATCAGTGTTATAGGAATAACATTGAAGTTCAAAGGGAATTGTTCGTGTTGGTTCTGAACCAACATACCTGGTGTAAATTATGTTTTTTGGTCACATACCTGTGTGTAAATTATGTTTTTCCACTCAGTTGTAGTTTCTTTCATCTTCTCCAACGGAATCTCTAGGGTAGAGCTCTACTTTGTTGGGAAGATCCACTAACAGTTCCAGCAATTCTCCTTCAGAGCATTGACGATGTACTCGTGTGTTTTAGTATTGTTTCTATTGTGAATGTCATTTTTTTATCTCCCTTTCTTTTAATAACATCTCTTATTTTCCAATAGATCCTGTAGTTAAACATCTAGAAGATGTTGGTATCAGGACCATCCTCCCCAGACCTCAAAGACTGGAGACGTAGACACGATTTCTAGTAGGCGTGTATTATGGACTGGATAGCCCTGTCACTTTAGAACCAGCATCTTGTGTCATTAGACAGGCTGGTGACATCTTGTGTCTTGTGGGGCAGGCTCCTCCCCCAGATTTTCTCACAGCGGACCCACTGTTGATAGGAGGTTAAGGGCCCCACCTTTTGGACAGACTGTCTGTCCAAAGGAGACCCAGCCCTTCCAGTCACCAGGCTTACTTCAGCCCCTCTGACCGCCGTGGATGGCTGCTGTTTGCCATCTCACCTTTCTGTTTGCAATTCTTGGTATTTGGTTGTGTTTGTTTTCTGTTCTCCCCATGTTTAAATGTAAGCTCCATGAAGGCAGGGACTTTGTTTTGTGCATTCCTGTTTCCTCAGCATTTAGAACAGAGCACACAGTGGACTATCAAAACGTGTTAGTTTTGTTATTTTAAAGAGAAAGAGATTGGTGGGGAGAGGGGCAAAGGGAGAGGGAGAGAGAAAAATCCCAAGCAGGCTCCATGCCCAGCACAGAGCCCAATGTGGGGGTCAATCTCACAACCCTGAGATCATGACTTCAGCCAAAATCAAGAGGTGGACACTCAACCGACTGAGCTACCCAGGTGCCCCTCAAAACGTGTTTTTGAATAAATAAATCCTCACTGGGAAAAAAAAAATGAGCTTATAAGAACTGGGTTATTATTTTTCATGTGTTTCTTCTAGAAGTAAATTAAGTTTATGTCAAATATAAAAAACTACTTTATATGGAAATGATATTAAATACTAAACATTTCCAAGAAAAATTAAATAATTCAAAGTAATTACATACCTGTTTTTAACTACTAGATTTTAAAGCAAAAACAAATGTTTTTAAGAGAATGGATAATGATGGGGAGAACAAAAGCAAAAGAAATGTAGAAAATAATTAAATTTTCTTTGCAGCTCACTGACAAGTACTTCAAACAGTCAGGGTGACCTTCCTCCAGGACCTCAGTGGCCTCACTGTTAATACATTGCTAGAGGCAAAAGGCAACCTTAAATTGACATTAGCTTGACCTCCAGAATCCTGTAAGTCTTCCTCAACATATAAAAATCCTTTTGGAAACTTGCTTTATTGTTACCCTCCTCCCCCCAAATATATGTTAGCAATCATCTTCCTAACATATGGCCCACTGATATTCATCTGAAGGCTCTGAAGACTATGGTTTTACTAGACAGTAGTAAATGACCTTATCTTAAACAACAGCTAGCCCATCAAGGTCCTGAAAACCTTGCTTCCAAATTCCTTAGAGGCATACACCATCCTTAACCCCCTCCAACTTAAAAGTATCCGATCAGTCACCTGTCACAACCCCAGTGCAGCTCTTTCTGCCCACAGGTCCTGTCCCTGTGCCTTACTGAAACCACCTTCTTGTGCTGAAGACGTCCTCAGAATTCCTTCTTGACCATTCACTCCTGGACCCTGAATATTCTGTCACATCTGATAAAGTGAAGTGATTTTTTTTTTCCTCTTCCTTCTATAGCTCAAGTCCTTCCTGTATTTTTCTTAACAGATATTGGCCGAGGTTTTTACTATGTTAAATAAAACTGTCACAAAGTGCCCTAAAAGAATGATCTATACATAACTTATTTCACCAGGTGTTCCATGGAAGTCCATTTAAGAACCTGAGAAATTTTAAACAGTTAAAGCAATTCTACCCCTTTTAGAAGATTGTCTTCTTTCTGGTCTCATTATTTTTTAATAGGGAATCAAATTCTATGTTCTTTATTCCAGTTAAATACATGCAATAAGGGCACTTGGCTGGCTCAGTTGGTTGAGAATGTGTCTCTTGATCTCAGAGTTGTGAGTTGGAGCCCCACACTGGGTGTAGAGATTACTAAAAAAAAATTTTTTTAACTTAAAAAAAAATCATGCAATAAATAATATTTATTTGCTTGGCCACAGATTAAAATTATTTTAAGTTTTCTTCTGTAAGATAAAAGGCTTACCAAGCTAAGTAACTTCATATTATCCCCTGCCGACTTCATTTCCACCATTCTGTTAGAATGAAGTTCCCTGTCTTCTATACAAAGCCAATACATCAGTTTGCCTCCTTAATTGATTCATTATGGTCTCATTCAAGGACATGTGAAAGTATCTCTCCTTTCTCCTAGACTTTTTACTCTTCCCTGAACTATTCACTCCTTCATTTAGGTCTATAAAGAGAGTCAAATCTGTCCTGTCCAGAAGAAATTCTCTTTTGGTCCTTTATCTCCATTGTTTCTTCCTTCTGACCCAAACACAAAACAACTCATTTGGTTATTTATTGCTGAGTCATAAATTAGGCTGAGACTCGTAATTTAAAACACTAGCCATTTGTTACTGCATGATTCTGTGTTGACTAAGTTTAGCCCAGTGGGTCACCCGCCACCAGGCTAACTAGGGCTGTAGCAGACCCACCTGCTGACTAGGGCCATAGTCTGAGAGTGCTCTGCTAGGCTGGAACATCACGACGGGGCTCACTATGAGCCTGGCAGTTGTTGCTGGCCAGTAGCTGGGTAACTTGGTTCTCCAGCACATGGCCTTTCCTCCTGTATTGGAATTCTAGAAGCATGGCATGTGGATTCCATGATGGAGCATTCTGAGTGTGCAAAAGTGGGAAGGTTCA